GGCCTCGAATTGCCGTCTGGGACTGTAGGGCCCTGCAGACCACCCAGCTCCTACCCGCTTTATCTGCACCCTTCCACTTTGACTCCATTGTCCCTGTCAACCGATTCCCTGTTCAGGAAATTTTCTTTTTTTTGTTTTTGTTTTTTGGGTTTTTTTTGTTTGTTTGTTTGGTTTTTTGAGACAGGGTCTTGCTTTGTGGTTCAGGCTGTCCTTGAGCTCACTTTGTAGCCCAGGCTGGCCTCAAACTTGTAACGATCCTCCTGCCTCAGCCTCCTGAGTGCTGGAATTACAGGGGTGCGCCACCACGCCCAGCAGGAATTCTTCTCCAGGGTGGAGCCTGTCCTGAAAGGGCGACTGGGACCTCATTTTGGAGAGTTCAGGGTGCAGTCCGCTCTGGCTCCTTCAACCCTGGCCTGGCCTGTTCTTTCTGTTCTACGGAGAGGCCGCCCCTTCCCCGCTCCGAGTCTTGGCGTCCGCGGGGCCAGCTGTGCCCTCCCCACGAGAGCACGTCGTGGCTATGCGAGCTTTCATCCTCTGGTCTCCCGCATCTTGGAACTCCTGTTCTCAGTGTGGGACAAGCAAGTCTGGGCCTTCGGGCAGTTTTTCCCACTGCTCATATTTTGGGATTTATGGGAGAAATTATCTACTTTTCTTTCTTTTCGTCCTGGACTGGGGATTGAACCCAGGGCCTTTGCACTGCGCTACCGCCTTAGCCCTTTTATATTTTGTATTTTGAGACAAGGCCTCACTAAATGGCTTAGCGTACGTTGGAACTTGTGACCCCTCTGCTGCAGCCTTCAGAGTGCTGGGATTACAGTTGTGCAAACCCCACACCCGGCCCCTAATCTTTTTTATTGTGCTAACTAGTTCCTTTTTTTTTTTTGGCTTCCAACTGAATTACGTCTTTTTATTCCTTTGCTAATCTCTTCCAGTGTTAACTACTTCCACTGCAGGTGATGAAACATATAAGGCTCCACTTCAAATGTTGGCGCTGCTATGAACACGGTCTTTTTCTCTTCACTGCAGCTCAGAACTAAAACTTGCATTCTTGCCAGGTGTGGTGGCCCACGCCTGTAATCCCAGCACTCAGGAGGCTGAGGCAGGAGGATCATTGCAAGTTCGAGGCCAGCCTGGGCTACAAAGTGAGCTCAAGGCCAGCCTGAACTGCATAGCAAGACCCTGTCTCAAAGAGACCAAAAAATAAATAAAAT